CCCACAGATGTGCCACTGGTGGAGACATAGCAAGGTGCAAAGTCAGCAGAGTATGTCAACTGGATTTTTAAAGCTCTGTCCACACTATCTAATTTTCTTTGACAAAGAAAAACCTGTTGTGTGCCCATATATAGTCATGATGTGCCTATATATGGTCATGATGTGATGTCATCATGACCATATTTAGGCATGTCACATGTTTTTGTCAAATAAAATTTGGTAGTCAGGACAGGGCTTAGATATATGGTTCATATCCTAATAAAGTAAGCAAATATTTCCATTTTTAAACTATATAGTTTTTGATTTCAGTAACAAAAGGTGCTCACAGTTTTAAAATTTATACAAAAGATTCTGTCAACCTTTGTCAAGTTAGTTACATCATAATTTATTACAATAGATATTTTATTTGCACTGAAAGACGGATTTATTTGCACAGTGATGTCAACAATCTTGAATCCTACTCTATAGAGATTTTTTTTTTTTAAATAAGTCTTCAAAAAGTCTTTTTTGCCATCTTTTTTTTCATTGCACGTTCCAAGATGTCCAACCAGATAAACAAACAACAAGTGATGGAATAGCTTGGGTTCCAGACCAAAATTTGGATTACAGTACTTACTGCAGTAAATGTAATGAAAAATAATCCTACTAAAGAACTCAGTACATGCCATATCCAAATTAAAATGTGTTTAAACTTTCCTGAATTCCCTTGAAATAATTTGCTTGTTGGTGGTGCAGTCCTGAAGGAGAGGAGTAACCATAATAACAAGAGAACTGTGGCTATTTTTGGGCTTTATAGAAATGTTTAACAGTAGGAAAAATGTCAAAGGGTCATCACTTGATTGCTCTCCACCAATAAATTACCCATATATTTTAGTTAATAGAGTATAATGTAACAGAAAATTATCTATTGGAATTAGGCAACTTTTGACTTGGTATTTTGGAAGACTATGATTTTGGATTTTGCACATTATTTTAAAAAAGAATAATACATATTCTACACCAAATTATAGACACCAACAATATTTTAGATTTGAATCTCCTTTTATTGTAGCAGTTATTTCTCCAGAAATTCCTTCAGAAAATGACTTTGCTTCCTTATTGACTTTGCGCCGATTGTAGATGATAAAGAGCACAAATTCTGGATTGACTGCTTTGTCCTTGGCATGAAGACCAGAACTATGATGCCTTTGTCTGGCATTCAAAGAACTTGATTCTGATACCTGACTGATCATACTGTAGAGTTCTTCATCATCAACATCTGCAAAACGATAGAAGTGAAATTCATCACTTGTGAAGACTCGACTGGAAGATGAGGTCTGGCTGGATGTGATGCTGATGTCAGATATTGGTGACATCAGACAGCCATGGAGAGGTCTTGGTCTGTCAGATTCAGAATGATCTACAGCTTCTTGAGATTGAGTGATACCGCTGTCATTGCTTATATCAGCTCCGAGTTCCTTTTCACAGCCTACCTGAGAAAGATTCTCAAATGATTCATGTGTTAAGTAATTAAACTGAAGATCATCTGGATTGTTAATCTGAATATTGTTGTCGGTAATGCTATGATCAGTGATATCTGCATTATCCATTTGCCCCAGAGCTTTGACTTCTCCATCATGGACTGGTGGCAATTCTCCTTCAACGACCTCATCTGAAATGAATCCTTCATTTACTATGCCTTGTTCAGTTATTGGATCTGTATTCTGGAAACTTTCATTGGAATTGCTGTTTGAGGCAACATCATCAAAGACCTCTGATATGGATCGATTTCGAAAGAACTGACTATGTGGTGTGCTATGGATAGAGATCTCAGGGAATGCCTGTGATGTACTCATTCTGATGTGGACATCGCTATTCCAACTGATTGGCGTATCTTCTAAAAAAAAAAGCATATCATAATATTCATATCTTTTGTATTTGAAAGCTGAATTCAATCATTTACACTAAAGCCCTGTACAATCTATCAAATTTTCTTTATCAAAAACATGTGACATGCCTAAATATGGTAATGATGACATCACACATGACCATACATAGGCACATCATGACTATATATGAGCATACAACAGTTTTACGTCAAAGAAAATTAGATTGTCTGGACAGAGCTTATTTGAACTGGTACCATAATAAGGAGTCCTTGGGTATGATTCTACTAGCAACACCACCACCGCGCCATTTAGTATGAACTTGATGATTTTAAGACTTTAGGATACATAGATAAGAGAGTTTGATGGCTGGGTGGTTAAGGCAGGGTCACCACAACCTACAGCCATAATATATGCGCTGGCACAAACAGCATGCTTGCCAATGGTTCTATAGGTGGCACAAGTCTTCTCAGATAAGGACTATAAACTGTAGGCCAATGTGCACAATTTGGCTCATGTGCACTATGAAGAACTTAGTACATCTTTTGAGACAGACATGAACGAGACCCTTAGGGGAGAACAAAGGTATTATATGAGCTACTGTAGTCCACGCTTTGAGGGCTTTGATCTTCATAAAATAGTGCTATATAAATGCTGTGATGTACGTATAGATCAATAGCATAGACATATTAAATGAACAGTAAGGTAACAATTCAAATACTTACCACTTCTCGAACGATTCTTGCTCTGGTTTGTTGTCTGAATTATACTGTGATCTAGTAACATTTGACAAACACCATGTGGATCTGAAAAAATAGGGATGACAGCTTTTGTTAAAAAAACACTAGACACCATATAACAGAAGACACTTATTAATCAAATGTAATGTAAACCGAATACAATACAAAGACAGAAAGAAAGAGCAAATGTCAACACAAACAAGAAAAAAAATTACTCTTACTGAAAAAGCAATAAAAAAAAAAGAAGAATTTATGAAACTAAATGATTATAACAGAAATTAGACAATTGTTGCAACAATCTCAACAGATTTAATGTTGAATTATTAAACTTAAAACATACTAATGAATTAGTATTGATATTTTATTGTTATATATTTTTTGGAAAAGCCCAATCAGAATTGGGTCTACGTCTATAAAATGAGACAGGGTTGTGCGATAGAATAGTGGCATGATACAAAACAGGTTCCCTAATATAATTATAAATAATTAATAATTAAAAAGAAAATAATGCCAATTCTTTAAATTCTAACCTTTTGATTCAGTATTAGTTTGAATCCAGTGAAGTAACTGCTGTCCACTGAAGCACTTGCGAATAGCATGTAAATCACGGTACATGCAATGAAGCACTTCGACCGGAGGAAGCTGGACATGGTTCCCACTACACATGCTGAGGCTGGAGGTATCATTGCTGGCCTCCATCTTCTAGCAAATTTTTAAAAAAATCATGAAAATTTAAGATACTATTTAATACATATGGTCAGGGGCAGATTCAGAGATGTCCGTAAGGAGGGCCCGAAAGTGGCGCTGATCGAGACAACACTACCATAGGAGTCCGGAGCCTTCCCCCGCGAATTTGTTGTTTTATAGATGCCTGCAAAATCCCTCTGAGGTGTTTTGGGTGATCAATTATTTCTTTTTCTTTCCTTCTTTTTTCTGGAGAGCAGATCATATACAAGAGTGCTCTACAACCACAATGCTTTATGAAACTTGGAAAGTGGATAGCTGATCATTTGGGATCATTGGTGCTCTTTACCCAAGTCTCTTAACCAAGTGGAGAGCAGATCATAGACAAGGGTGCTCTACAACCACAATGCTTTGTGAAACTTGGAAAGTGGAGAGCTGATCATTTGGGATCATTGGTGCTCTTTAACCAAGTCTCTTAACCAAGTGGAGAGCAGATCATAGACAAGGGTGCTCTACAACCACAATGCTTTGTGAAACTTGGAAAGTGGAGAGCTGATCATTTGGGATCATTGGTGCTCTTTAACCAAGTCTCTTAACCAGGTGGAGAGCAGATCATATACAAGGGTGCTCTACAACCACAATGCTTTATGAAACTTGGAAAGTGGATAGCTGACAATTTGGGACACTTCGTGCTCTATAAATCCAAGTCTCTTAATGAGTTTTAATGAGTGCTGGGGTTGATCATTTCGTCGCTCACATCACGAACTAACACAATCAAAGTAGATTGTGTTAGTTCGTGAAATCATAGTAGCACGTCAAAACGAGCGCGTATTGGTTGTCAAGCAATTTTGTATTCTTTACCACACAAAAAGTCCTTGACGACAACAGCGCGTATTTTGACGCGCTTTTTCGATTTCACGAACTAACACAATTGAATTTAATTGTGTTAGTTCGTGATGTGAGCGACGATTTAGAACCCTCAATTCTCTGTAACTGCAAGCAGCTAGCTCACTCATCTAAGCTGGTTTCTTAGTCACCAGTTCTATTCACATCACTGCTCTCCTTCTGTTGCAGTTGGAGGGCTGATAAGACACTGTTGGTCCCGTGTAATAATAATAATTCTGGATTTATATAGCGCCTCACGTTGACACAACCTCGAAGCGCTTGAACATTATTACCCCCGGATCACTGGATCAAGCACATATGGAACACACACTCAAGCCCCATAGGGGAATTCCATAATTTTGCAGCTGTATTCAGCGCAGGCTGTGTTTGAACCTACCAGGTACCCACTTGTACTCCTGGGTAGAGAGAGACAACCGTAGATAAAGTGGCTTGCCCAAGGACACAAGCGACTTGCACAGCGAGAGTTTCAAACCTCCGACCTCAAGGTTGGGAGTCCAAACCATAACCGATGGTGCACAATATGGCCCATGTGCATGTTACACTCTTCAGAAAAGAGTAGGGGATTGTCTCCCAGTCACCAGCCCAATCACCACCAGAAGGACCCCACTGGAAATAAGTCTTCATCAGACTTTCGTGGGTTAAACTTGGTGTTCAGACCGAAAAAATTCATGCTGAATTCATGAAATTGAAACATGAAATTTAATTCATAACAAGTCGCTTTACAGGGAGTGGAGAGCTGATTATAGGGACCATCGATGCACTACAGACCAAGTTTCCTTATAAGTTTCGAGGAGTAAAGAGATGATTGTTTGAAACTTTAAATTTCTAAAACCTTGTCTTTTAATGAAGATTGTGAGTTTGGAAGAAATATTCTTTAGTTATGACTAAACTCTTAAATATCTTTACGAGGAAGCAAGTGACAAATAAAACCTGATAGTGTAGATGGAGCATTACCTGTGATAGTAGCTGTTTATAAAGAGCGATGAGATGTCGTGTATCCATCGAATGTAGCTGTAACAGATACATAGTATGTTCCTGAAACAATAAAAAAATATTTAAAAAATGTTATTTGAAAAACCAGACTTGTTATTAATTGTAGCAAATATACTATTTAGTCTTTTACTGTCTTTTCTGTATATTAATGTTTTAATGTATTTTTATTTTATTGTATTTGATTTTTTCTGTAATCTCTGTATTTTACTGTATCATAATGTATTGTTAATGTGACTTCCCTTTTGAATGCACCGCAATAACCGTGCCACTGATACAAAAGTTTATATTCAATAATGATTTATTTATTTATATCTGACATAGTTAAATGTTGTGACAACAAAATTTAAAAATGAAAAGGTGGTAGAAAGAATGCATGAAACTAAACCAAATAAAGAAGTATTTTTTTTGTATTGTGAAACATGGCATAATGGATTTCATGATATCAGCACTCATAAAATAGAAAAAGAATATCTAATATGTAAACTTACTGCTGGTTTTATGAGAAAATCAATATCTAAGCCATCACCATCATGGTACATGAACTCAACCATATGCTAGATTTAAATAACAAAGATAAAAAAACATAATACATAGGAAGACGGCAACTTAGGGCTTCTTTACTGAAAACTAGTTCTCAAGAAATTTAGAATGATAATTATGATGATGATAAATGTAACTCTTAAAAAAACAGTCTTTACATATATAATATATATGTATTTATATTTTTAACTATCACACTTTATTGTTGCTACACCTATACTTAAGGTCGAAATGGCTCCCCCATTCCATATTACGAGTTGATGATTGAATGCTTACCCCTATGGCCTGTAAAAGCAACAGAGCTCGGTTGTCTGATTCGTTGTCCAACATTTTCAACATCTCTGTTTCTACTTTAAAATCCTAAAACGAAGACACAAAAAAAGTGTGAACAATATTAAAAATCATATTAATTATTGTCTACTACATAATTTTGCAATTAAAAAAGATCATTAATCATTTTTTATAATTAATTAATTTTTTATTTCAAATTCTTTTATTCAAAAAACACATCAAAATCGCAGCCTTACAGCTGAACTGCACGATATTAACAATAAAACACTTAAATTTATTTAAATACAGAAAAAATATGACATTAAATTCATTAAATAATTACCTCCATAATATTTTCCCATAATGCATGGCAGAATTTCTGAAAGGATTCTGGGTAAAGCCATCTGCTAAATGCTATCATGTGATTGTCGAGGAAGTCAGTGATTGGTTGAAGTCGTTTGGCAATAGTGTAGCCAATCATGTTCAAGTTTGTCAACAGCTTCAAGGCTTGATGAACAAATAAGTTCAACTGAAAAAATATCAACATAACAGTATGGTGAAAAAAAAAGTAATTAATTTAAAAAGGTAATTGTTTTTTTACTGTTTACACTATTGTACAGCTCATCAGGAAAATGTCCTTTATGGGACAGCAGTTTGTGGCTTTACAGGCTAGCAACTTAAGCCCATAAGCTAGCTCACTCCCTCATGGGCTAGCAGCTTAAGCCCATAAGCTAGCTCACTCCCTCATGGGCTAGCAGGTTTATGACTTTGTAGTCAACTTATGATGCACTACCTTTCCATCACTTTGTGAGCCAGTGTGCTATGTTGGTGGCCAGCTAGGGTGAAAATGTTACAGGGAGGCAGTTTATAGCCTACTTTCTGAACTGAAATAACTTCTTGCTTGTAGAATTATGGAGGAATTAGTTTACGACAGCATTATGACCAACTTAATAGGTCACATACAGTATCTTATAGACTTGTAGCTTTGACCTAATTAATTGGCTAGGTGACCTACCTTATGGGCTATCAGCTTGGTTTGACCATCAATCACTTGCTGTAAATGACATTGCGATTGATGCCAAAGGTTTTCATGAAGATCTAAAATAAATCATAAAAATATATATCAATATTTCTTTAATCAGTTTGTACTCTATAATGTTAAACTTTCCACTGTGTTAAATAAAGCCGTACTGCCTGACTTTACAGATCTTTCAAGGAATGAGGATACACATGATGGGGATGGTTCTATTATTTTGAGGGGTGTTCTAGTTAAAGAAAATACTGTACGGCAATATTCTGTTTATCCAGATAAGTACTCACAAAATAAAATTGTCAATCTTCAACAATCTATAGAGGGTATATATTAATAATCAGCATTTCAATATACAGTATCTACCTAATTGTGAAAAGAGAATGAGGAAACTTATGTGGTTTATACTGATACTGATGGATGGTTCTATTATTTAAGAGGGATGTTGAAATTGGAAATACATTGAATTATTGGCTAATTTCAATAATAATAAATATAAATTTTTTCTTAAATATAATTATATTGGATTATTTTACCTCGTTGCATCAACCTAGAATAATAACTTTACCTGCCATGCCCATGTCTAAAGTAGATTCTAAATCACCAACAACTGTTGCTAGGAGACCATTAAATGATGGCATAAGATTAAGGAGAGCTGCTATATTGTTGATTCTAATGCACATCTGAAAAAAAATATATAATGATATCAAAAATTGGCTGTGGAAATGGAAATGTGGAAACTTTTTGGACAAAAGTAATGCTGGTTGGAGTCATAATGATGATGACTATGACGATGATGATAATAATGATTAAATGAACTGAAAATTGTTGGATCTGTACTTTGGTGTTTGTGTGCTTTCCTGCTGATTGTAGTAACATGGATTCCAATTATTATTTATTTACAGGTATAATTACTATTAAATGATAATTTTTTGTTAATAGTAAACCAAGTTAGAGCTTCAATTGTTTAATTGTATATTACCTCTTCAGTGACTGGTTCAAAGGCATCACTGACGTAGTCAGCATCTCGGTTTAAGTACTTATTACAATCGTTGGATCCATTCAACATATGGCGACAACCCCAGATTAAACCTTGCTTCTTATTAAAACGTATACTCTCCAGCACCTGAATGGTAAATTTGAAAAAAAGACATTAAATACATTACATTTTTAACACCACTACTAGTTTTCATTCAAAAATGATCTTTTCAAAAAAATTAAGAGCGAGCTAGATAGAACAATTTACTTAAAATCCCTCTTATTACTCCACCATAAGGCTTCTGTTTTACCCCCTTCCTTCTTCACACACATTCTAATGCATGGGGCTTCTAATCATTCCCTTTCTCTGTCACTCATATATGGGTTTCTATTCCGCCCCTTCCTCCCCACCATTGAAGTTGACAATTAGAAAAGGATAGAACAGCATTAAACTCACAAAATTCTGTTATCATGTTGTATCATGTTATAATTTTGTAAATTGTAATGAATTGCACAACAAGTGAATTCTAGAAACTACACTACACTCAGGTAGGACCTTTCTGGAAAGCAGTGCTTGGTAATGCGTAAACATTTTTGTTTGTAATTTTTTCATCTCATAAACTGTTTTTGCAAAACTTTAAAAAAAATTTACAGGGTCAATTTTTAGCAATTAGCGTGAGAATGATTTTGGGCAAATGACGAGCAAATTAGTCAAATTAATCTAATATTTTAAGCAATATAACAGTGAACATGGAACATGGAAGTGAAAATCATTTAAGTTAAGCATTGTACAGACTATTTGACAAAAACATGTGACATGCCTAAATATGGTCATGATGACATCACATCATGACCATATATAGGCACATCAGTACTAAATATGGGCATACAGTAGTTTTTTTTATCAAATAATTGGATAATCTGGACTAAGCATTAGTGCAATCCTCTAGCTTCTCCATGTCCTGAAAGTACAGTATGTTACCATAATAACCTAGAAACTTAACACTTTCTGGTTATTTGACAACAACCTGCTTTGTGAGGGTAACCCTTTCAATTCTCTGGAGCTGCTATACAATCTATCTAGTGACTACCAGCACAATTGGACCCAGTGTATCTACAATATTTTTTATGGGATATTATCAGCTCATAATTTTGCTTATGTGAGCAAGATTATAAAAATATACAGTTATTTGGAGAAATACTATTCTTACACCACCTACCTATGTATTAAGTTACACAGTAAATAATGCTATTAAATACGATTGATAGGGGATTATGTGGACGATTGATAGGGGATTATGTGACAACCAACTGCAAAAGAGCGAAGATAGTTACCTGAGATGCGATCAGCTTGCTTCCAATGGTAGCCGGTGTCGCACACAGATCTATCGATAACATGTTGTTAGCGTAAAGTTGTAGACAGCTAGTGACGGTCTGGGCACCAAAGAAAAATAGGATAAAAAGATTTAATCAATTAAATTAAATCAATTCTACAAACAAAGAATATAAATATACACGATTTAAATTACAAGCATTAAGCAACGACTTTTAACTTACAGAGAAAAATCAAGAGGCAGAAACAGTCAAGACCACTGTGTCCTGGATATGTGGTTTTCCCTTCCCTAATCTACCATATATACTTGTGAATAAGCAGACCTGCATGTAAGTCGACCCGCAAGTTTGAGAAGATTTTTTGATGATTTTTGTATGTCAGGATTGTAAGATGACCCCCCGTTTTATCGTCAGAATTTTCTGCTGTTTATGGTCTTGATACTGCATCCAGCTAGCTAAAAACGGAGTCAAATGCAAGGCTAATCTTTACAATGTTCATCAAAATCTTATTTCCTCGTATTTAAAATTTACGTTCATTCATATCAACATTTAGTGGCTTCATTGCAGTAGTAAATTTGTGTGTTATGGACGACTTGCACGACTTTGATGTCTCTGTGACATTGGCTTAGAGTGCTTTGTTTTATAAAGATTGATTTCAATATTCTAGCTCTACTCATTCCATAGGTTCAAAAACTCACCATGTACATCTTAATGGCAAGCTCTTCTCTCATCTGAAATGCAGCATCGTTCCATGACATGGTGGCTGTTGCCATCGACCTTCTTCCACCGTACGAATCATCATCTCCTCCTCCTGCTCCATCTACCGCCATTTCTTCTTGCGCTTCCTTGCCTTCAAGAATCGGATAAATTGTACTGCACAAACTCTGCATGAACTCTGCGTACCTTTGTATGATACATACCATGTCGACAACGCTGTTTGAAAACGGCATCTTGTCTTCCGGTTCTGGAGCATTATCAACCAGGCTATTCAAATCCCCGGACTGCATGCTCTCACTGTCACTAGTGCTGCACATGGTATCAGACTGTTCTCTACACGTCTGCATTTGTGGAACGGATGGATGGGGTCTGTACAGACCAGGTGAGTCTATCCTGCTGGATGCCCTCGTTTCGGATGGACTAAGTGATCTGGGGTAGAATGTGCCCTCACTGGCTGTTTCAAATGATGATGTTGAATGCAGAAACCTTCGATGCGGGATCATTTGACCAGGCGACATGAACCTCCTTGGATTTTCTAAGCCTGGTGACTCCACACTCGTTGACTTTTGGTTTGCTATGAATTTGATTGGACTTTCTTTACCTAAACTGCTGAAAGCATCTTCGTATTGACTGTATGGCGTAGTTGCTGCCGAGCTACAGATTTCTCTGGCATCCTCTCGAATTATGAATGTTTTATTCGGTGCTTGTGCGCACGTTTCCTTCGCACTGTCATTTTCATAAGTAGAGTTTTCATATTGGTCATTCGTCAACAGCTTAACTTCATCATCAGTCAAACCAGTTTCCTTATAACTTTCAATTTTGGACTGTTCCATTTCTGGTGTAGGGGTGTAAAACCTTGCATCATCTTCACTAAGTAACTGTTCTTTGTGATTATCAGGTGATACAGAATTAACTTCTTCTTTCTCTATTTTAAAGCCTTTGGTCTTAGCCTGTGACATACTAGTCCTACCCTTTGGACACTGCAAGAGATGTTCTTGATGTGTTGTTGAATTGCGCAAAGATTCATCCTCGATACTGCTTGAGAAGGGATGTTCCATTTGTAGAGGGGTTTGCACTGATAGCTTACTAATTTGACGACGAGTCACCTTTGACGCCGCTGCACTCTGGGGAGGATCTTTCAACGGTTGTTGGTGAATCTTAAAAAAAAAGCACAATTTATATTAAAATCAAGTAACAAAATGTGATTTAATTACATGATTTTCTTTGCTAAGCAATGCTCTCAAAATAAGCACAGCTGCATCCACTAGGTATATTTTATTCTGAATAAACTTTATGGTGCTTAATTGCATGTACACTCATGCATTGTATCATCAAGAAACTATTAAATAACCGATTTCTCAAATCAGATTAAATAATCAGCAAGCAACAAGTCAGCTGGGACTATGTACAAAAATAAATTGTACCATTTCAGCGCTACATTAAGTTGTAATAAGTGCCACTTTCAAATAAATGCCGCGATCTTGAATAAGTTCCGCACTACAGCCTCCAAAATGCAAAAGCGCAACAGCACTTAATGGAACATTTACGGCATTATCACAATCATTATTACATAAAATTTAAGAGCCATTGTTTCTTACTTCAACTTCAACTGTAAGTGGAGAGACACGGTTTAATCCTGCAACGGCTGAAAATGCAGATGTTTGCGAGGCTTGGAGAAATGATGAATTTCGTGGACGGTGAGAATTTAACATGTCTGGGAAGCCTTCTTTAGGAAGTATCTGAGTTTTGTACTATATATTGAAAAAATATGAGTAATAATAGATATATTTGATTAACTATATACTCAAAATATTATTCAATAAATTTTAACACATACTAGTATATGTAAATAATTTATAAAAACAACGAACAATCATAATAGCAATAATCGGCAATTATACAATTTTACAATGATGTAATAATAAAATCAACATAGTTTTAAAATAAACTTTAAAATATAATAGTAAAAAAACATATAAAAATAATAAACAATGTAATTATATTCTTAAACTATAAATAACATTTTAAAACAAATAAAAATACCAATAACAATACCTATATCAATAACTAACAAAAAAAAGACTCATCAAATCCTTACTGTCTGAATGAATAATAACATAATAAAATTAATAACAATAATAAATAACATTATCAATAATAAAAATACCAACAGCTATAACAATTATAATACAATACTCAAGACTACTTGTCACTTACCGAATCTTTACTCACTGCCTGAATGACTAACGATAATGTGTGCTGCCTCAACACATCTAGCCACAGCTTTGCCTGAGAATGAAACTGATGTCGCCATATTTGAAGACTAAAAGAAGGAACAGGGCAAATTATTGTTTGTTTAAAGCTTATAAATATTCTGCATCATAAATAAGGAATTATTCATTTCGTCTTGACATGACTAAATAATATTTATCTTAAGAATGATATTTATTTAAAACCAGGTGACCAAGATCTGAAAGGATCTCCACGGTTCAGCGCACAAGCAGTGGCTGCCACCGCTTTAGACAAATGAGCTAAGCTGCTCTCTCTTTAAAGATTTAATGGATGTCTTGAAAATTTACCGTATTGGAATGTAGTTCTTCCATTTCAGGTCCAGCTGATTCAAGCGATAGGCCAGACTTAACATTAATAGATCTATATCGTTTGAGTGCTGAAAAATATAATAAAATTATGTGAACACATTGAAAGCATGGAAGTCGCTTTCTAACTTGGTCATGTTGTAACTATCACTTTCGAAAGTTGGCTAACATTTTGTTATGTCTACTGTATATTGATTGATATCTTAACTAAATTCTCTTTTAAATTACTCAAACTTCCTGGCAACTAAATGCAAATATTACATTACCTCCAACTCCAGGCACTGTTCACAGAGGGCCCCTACGTCTTGCATCAATGATTTGTAAAATTCACGAGCAGCAAGAGCAGTCAGATCAAAAAATCTAAACACAAGAAATATATAAAGACACCATAATCAGTGTAAAACTATGGATATGTTTAAGGGTTCAGTACAAAAAAAAATAATTGAAAACAGCTATGAAATTGCCAAATTAAAAGAAATTATATTAAATTTAAAGTAGATAAGTCAGAATGGAAAAACAACCCATAGTTTACCATACATTTCACAAAAGTTAGTCCACATCTTTCTCTGAATAATAATTATTGTTAAGCAATTACAATTTAGATGGATTAGAATGAATTACTTTAGTGTAAAAGCGTAACTGACAAAATTTATCTTCAGTGGGGTCTTTTTTAATTGCAAGTTGGGCAGTACAGTGTTTTGATAAATATATATGCTAAACAATAATAATAATAAAATAATTGACTATGAAATATACTATTGACACCCACAAGACAGGTAAGATAATTTCAGAGAGCATCATCAGCATCTGTGTTTGTTATGTTGTTGAATTTGGATGGGAAACCCAGAAAAAGTACAGTATGGAACGCCATGCAAATAAGTAATATGGAACGTCACTGGTGCCAAAATAGATTTATTTTTAATAGTTTTCACTGATTAAGACAAAATGTAGGGCTGGAACCCAGTCTACTCAAGAGGGTTCACTGTAAAGTACTCCATGAGAACATAACTTACTTTTCAAAAGGTTTTTGATAATTCTCCTGAAAATGATCGACCTCACTTCGTATATTTAATAGCAACAGGTTCATCTAGATATATGAAAAAATAATATCAATTGAAAACAAATTATCAACAGAATAAACAGAATTTACAGACACTCTGACAAGGTTTGCACAAACTACACAAACCTAAAATATAAATAACAAATAAGTGACACAACATTTAAAACTATGCCTATGAAAACTAAATCTAATAATGAATAAAATCTTTTAATGTATTGTATATTGTTGAACTCTAATATTGAGTATTGATTAAAAAAATGTCTACTAGATTGTACTGCTATTTATAGTATTAATGTTGTCTTCTTGGCATGCTAAGATGGTTCTACGCAACTAGTCAAGTCCATAATATTAATTTCTTACCAGTTTCGGTGATAAAGGTGTTGTGTAAGAATTCAGTTTTAGTTCTGTTGTTCCAATCAGTTTATACCTTTCATATGATAATGAAAAACTATCCTGCAAAACAAAAAGATTATATTTATTTTAAAACTTAGATCTTTCATAATATTATAATTTGTTATTTGGTTATAACTACAAAGAAAAATAAATGATAAAAATGGAGACAATGCCTGATCTGTGCAAGCATAATCACAGCAGTATTTCTGGCAAGGCCAAAAAAATTTCCATCATATTATTATTATAATTTAAAAATGTATGATAAACAGCAAAGGATAAAAACAGTCTACACAAAGATGAGAGGCCAAACCAGAACCACCATCCCATCCTCTCTTGATTACATTTGTGGATGTTGTTTTACGAGAATAAAAGTTACTTTGTTGCTTTATGTGCAGCTGGACAAAACAAACAGTATGTTACCTTCATGTACTTCTGCAAATAATAATCTAAAGAGCTGCATTTCTTGCCTGTCAAGTAAGTCTTGAGTTCCAGTACTTTAGCCAGAAGGTTGATCAGGGATTCTGTACACAAAATCATAAGTAGAACATTTTAAGCTCCATTTTGTTACAAGGACTGTAATGATATAGCGCCCTCTATGTTTAGGCACTCTTATTAATTGTTATTTCTATGTTGCTATGTGCTTGCGTTCAGAGTAGGTGTTATGTTGTACAATATACACCATCTTCATTGAATTGTTAGTTCTGGAAATTCCACGTTGAATAAATTTTAATATTAGGGCGCTTTCGATTGCACAATGACATTAGGATGTAGAACGTAAATGACGTCACTAACAGTCATCTGCGCATGCGAGAACGTTAAGTTCTCCTAGTCGTGTGAATTCTAGGACGCAATTTGGCCAAATCTATGTATGCAGAGAACGTAGGACACCCGGTGGGACAGTCACACATGAGTGATTCCATTTTATTCCGTATTAGTCTTCATCAAGAGTTGTCAACCTCTTGTTAATACAATTATGACAAGCAAAAATTTGAAATGCAGGCTGGCAAAAATTACACAGTTAGACGTTCAGTCTCATCAACTGTTTTTTTTTAACTCACCTACACCAATCGACGGATCCTGGTCTGTGAATAAACGTTGCAAACGAGTGAAGCAGTGACTACAGTGGTCATGGAGCTTGCAAGCGGTCTTGTAGAGAACATCATACTGAGCAAAAAAAAATTGTTTAAATCAATTAAAAACAAACACCATCACAATTTGTGTCTACCATTTAGGTAGATATTGTCGCAATTATTATTTAGATTAATTGAAATTAACATGGTGTAGGACAGAAAAATGTTTCGATCATTAACTTGAAGGCTTAAACAAATAAACCTTGATATCAAATTCCTTAAAATCATTCAAATACTGATGTTTTAAAGGTGATAATTAGTTGTAGATGTTGTTTAAGAGAAATTCTTATTTATATGTCTTGTTAATGTAATAAAGTAATTTCTGAATAAACAATTGAACCAATGACAAGAAAATGGTCAGACGCATTTATAAAAAAAAAAAAAATTAACAGCTTGTATCCACAATTACTTTTGCTTTAATTGTTATATACATAAATAAATAAAATAAAGGAAATAAATTATAAATCAATAGCTACCTCTTTTCTAACAACAAGCATCCTTGTTCTTATTTGCGATATCATCTCCACCACCATCCCAACTACTTTTGTCAAGTGATTTAGATACCACACTTCCAGTTCAAGATTGCTTCAAGAACATAAAAAAAAAAAACATACTTACATATGAATATCAAAAATTGTTTAACAAATCTTACACAAAATAAATTAGAAAAATTAATTTCTTTAGTATTTTTTTACAAAATAGATATTCATTTAAAGAATATCTTTTTATGATTACACATTTTTTATTTTATTAATTTTATTCGGTTTTATAGCACTATCTTTGCAGATATGAAGCACTTCTGTTCCAGGTCATGGGTCCATATGCTTAAGTGTTGCTGCTGTAATCAGTGCAGGAGAACGCAACCCACCAGGTACCCTATTTATACTCCAGGGTCGAGAGACGTAATGTAGATAATGTGCCTTGCTCAAGGACACAAGCGAAATGTAGAGTGGGGGGGGGGATTGAAACCCTGACCTCAAGGTTGGGAAACCAAACCAATGCAGCTGTGCCAAATCAATTCTATTGTTTATACCTTTGTAATAATGGACCATTCCACTAAACCCCACCTCTTAGATATTTTTGCTAAGGATCAGACAAAATGACAGCCATCAATTTTTGTTAAAAAACATGGCTGAGTGTGAGCCTAGCCCACCAACTGAATAACACATCCTGATTGGTTCATTAAGTTTGACTGACACTCTGAAAAGACTCATTGCATAATAAGAGTCTAAAATCCACATCAAAATATGACAAAGATAATGTTGTTATCTGATCTAAAATTTATATTTACAGATTTTGATCTCTGTTGGTTGAAAATAAAACTGAAGTATAGAAGTTTCAATTATTATTTCTATTAGAGCTTCAATTACAATGAAAATAATGGAATTGCTATTTCTACATTTCAATTAGTTATTATCTTTCAATTGAATAATTTTTTTAAAACACAAAATTTAGCATTTATATTATTCCTATAGTCTTTACACTGTACTCTCAAATTTTTGCCAGCAAATTTAGGAACTTCCATAAAATTAATTTAATAAAAAAAAAATATAATACTCACCACTCCATATCTGAGGCCAAATTCCTTGAGAAGTCGTCTGCAGGATGAGGACAAAATCCACCCTCCCCTGGACACATTGTGCCGCATGCTCCCACTCCTGAAAAACACAAGGATTACAATATCAGTGAAAGAAATAGGCTATCTTCACAATGATGAATGACCCTCTTGCACTACACGACCCTCACTATTTCGTTTATAGTCAAATGATGTAACAAGTGGTGCTAAGAATATGGAGTGCAGGGGTTCACATCCTCTGTCGGACCCCTTGTCGACAAATTTCTGGTGCCACCGCTTTGCCTAACACACATTTTATGATTGCTTTGTTTGAAAAGAAATTAATATTTTAAATCATGGCTGACGTAATTTATACAACACATGTGACACAAGTGTCAATCAAAATTAACAACAGGGCCAGGAATACGGCCTAAAAACACATGTGCAGTCCCACAGATGTTTACATATATTTAAAATGTCTTTTTGTGAGACATTAGCAAACATATCCAATGTGGAAAAGGTCTATTGGCACAGAATTGTAGAAGGTATACTTGTAACGACAATACACATTTGTGATGAAAAAAAAGACAGGAACTGAACTATATTTTAACAAGCACCTTCTGTAATATAACATTGAGGTGAAAGCTTATTAACAGAGTTTATGATTGCAATAGTGTTTTTATGTCCTTCCTGTGAGCGATAATTATAACGCTGTTCATTTGGAGAAGTAATCAAAATAAAAAAAAGAACAATAAAAAGTAATGTTAATAACAAATTTAAAACATGTTAACTATTTTTTCTTTGAAACTTGTTAAAATGTCATAGGAGTTTCCAAAATCAAATATTAATCATTAAAAAAAATACCTAGGCCCGCTTGGGTCAAAAAGCTTGCAAGAAAATGTCTTGCAATGGTAAAAATTGTGTGTGTGCTAATACCTGATTAGCTTTATCATAAGTTCTCTGTACTCATCATGCGTGCTGGCCCAGTACATTGGGTTGCATAGGGTACTGGATGGACTCGGCAGGGAATAATGCCAAAATTTGGTATAAAGGTCAATCACATGTCGTCTCTCTTGCTGCTGCCAGAAATCATATGCATTCCGATTCTGAAAAATAGGGAAATACATAGTAATATAATTATAATAAATATAAAAAATAATATCATTATTAATAATTATTATAATTGTTTAATTTTTTTTTTACTTTTCTCAATTTTAAATTGATTTTAATCTAATTATTTAATTCATTTTTTATTTACAATAGCTTTAGTCATGTATCTAGAATTTTTTTTTTTACTTTTAATATAATTTTAACTAGTGGTCCTGGCTAAAATTTGATTTAAAACTTATTTTTGGCCTCCTTCCACACACATATTCTGTTATGTATTATTATTCTCAGTTACTTCTTTTACTAATTGTTAACTAAAAATTATTTATGTATGTTGTGTGGAAAAAAGAAAATGAAACAAAAAAAGAAACAAATAAAGATAAATAAAAATATAAATAAATAATTTACCTCAAATGAAAATGGGCTGTAAAATGGGTGCTTGTTGTTCTCCAGAAGTGTAAGTCTGCTAACAAGCTCATCTATAAGAATCTTAAAGAGAAATATCAAAGTATATAAATGTTTATCAATGGTTATATAAAAACATTAAACAGGAAGTATAGCAGCAATGTATAAGTTTATTATCGAGTTTAAAATATTGGAATCACTTAGCAAAGGTAAGATCATAGAAGTTCTAAATTTATACTTCCATGGTAAGATGAAGCTCAATGGATCACATGGGGGGAGGCAGCCATCCCCTCCTAGCATAGGCCTGGATCCCGTCTTCCAACGCCACAACTAGGTCGTCAAACCAAAAATACTAATTTGGCATAGCCTATCCAAATAACATCATTTTTATTGCCAATCCCTAATATTGTGGTTAAACAGCACAATTTGGGTCATACTAAGCCATGAAAACTTCCCTGTGAATCTTCCTGACCGAGGCTCTAGTCTTGGTTCGAACACCCCGTCTGACACATCAGACCCCCTGTCAGCAAATTTCTGGAGCCACCACTGCTTTTGGTTATTATAAAAAGTAGAGGGGGGTGGGGGAAATATAAATTAATGAATTTACATATCACATAATACAAAGCACTCTCATAATCCACCATCCAGCATTACTTAATTATTTCAGGCTTATCTATACCTTAGCAGGTGATTTCCTGTTGTACCCCTCAGAAATAATCTCATCATAATACAGGTGGCGCTCTTCGCTCAACTGGAATGCTTGGCGTACAACCACGCAGAGTGTCTGCACTTGAATTGAGGTGTCTGTGTCATCATCAATGTCACTGTCCTCGGAGAATGTCTTCAGATCTGAATTGTTTTCTGGGATTGGAATGAAGGTGAAGCTGTGTTGGAACGGAATGCTGTGTTTGGGCATCAAAGAGGCAGAGGACGGAGGCGAGATGGAGCCTAGAACGGGAAACTGGGCACAGAGTAGAGCACGTTTGTACACAGAAAATTCCTGGAAGCAAAACAAAATTAATAATAATAGGTTTTTATATAGAGCCTTATGGATCAAAGATTTCACAACTATTCCATCACCCAGAAGTATGGTTTAGATAAAATCACTAAAGCAATTAATAGCGATTTTATTGAAACAAGGTAAATAGCGATTTTATGAAAACCAGGAAGTAGCGATTTAATCAAAACTACTGTTAGGCAAGACTCTTAATGAGACTTGGTTTTAAGAGCATTACTTCCATTCTATGGTAAGTGGTGAATCACTCGTTTTTTCATGGTAATTCATGAATACACAAAAAGATTTGAAGTTTTTAGCATATCAATTTCTATTAATATATTAATAATGGGTCAAAATTGTTTAGTGAAGGCAACTGGCATGAACAATTTCCAGAGCACTGGGTTGTTTTCATTGTTACAGTTGAGCATGGTGAAGTGTGATCCTTGCTCTGCTGGGGCACAAGAATAAAGTTAACAAAGCTATTAAATGGCTTATCTTTAAGCTGTTTATTCTATTCATATATGCTTTGGAGGTCAATTCCCACTTGAGATATGGTTTTAACAGCATGTATTTTATATTGCAAAATTATAAAGTGTGTTAATGTATTAAATTATACTAAATGATGCTTTATCACACACTTTACCTCAAGTGAAGGAAGACAATAAAATGCAACTACTTAAATATCAAGAGCCAACATTGAGGGGCAATGTTCATTTCTAAAAATAATAATGGTAATTCAAATTGCATAACATTTTTCTAAAAGTCAAAACACATTTACAGTTGATTGTATAATTCACCATCTACTTAATGAACTAAGACACTTGGATATATAGGACTTTTTAATGGCGTGTAGTGATGTGGTATTCTCGCTTACCAGACCAATGCACGACAACACACTGTCTGTGTGAAACCTTACCATTAAAGAGTTATTGTGAACTTGATTACCGAGTCAAGTAACGATAACTATAAATTTATAAATTTAGGCTAAATAGTGAAACAAAACTGAATCAATGTTCATTCACATCAATATACTGTACTCTGATTCTTGTCATTTTGTCGTCTTTAACAATTTATTGGTATATGAGTTTTATTGTGGTTATTTGATGAAAGTGAAATATGAATTATATGAGATATGTAATTGATTGTTTATGAGATATAAACAATAGTTTAAGGTATATTCAAGCCTTTATTATGTTGTATTTGTGACAATTACAGTAGAACATAATTTCACAACAATATCTTTACTTAAATTTACATACTTTTTAATATGAAAACCTTTAAATTCATTACCAGAAAATTTAAGGGTTTTATACATTTGATAAATCAGCAAAGATAATATTCTTTTGTTTAAACTTTCAATTGAAGGAATAATAATTTACTTTTATACGAAGAAAGCAATATAAAATACTTAAATTTATTTTTCAAGTTTAAACTGCAGTTTTAAAATACAGTTCGGGGTCGTTCGCAATTATCAACATGTACAAAGAGCAGACCTACTCTTTTTCAGCACCCACTTCCTCCCCTCTGAAAGTATACATAAAAAATGTTGATTTTGCAAAACCATTCTCCATTAATTTTGTGTAGTAATCTAAAGTAAAGTACCTGGTTGAATAAAAGAATTTTTTTTTATCCCTGGTTGCATTATAATTGGTCATAAAAATATTATTTAACATTGCAGGTTATTTTGAATCAATATTTTAATTTATATATAAAAGTGTACAAATTTGTCCACTCCCTTGCCCCCCCCCACCACCCAACGTACTGTTTGTACACTTGTGGATGTTGATAATTGTGAACAACCCAACAACAGTATATTGATTCAACAAGCCAGTACCACTACCATACTCTACCATCACAACTACAATCACAAAAGACCAGATGTTTACAAAGAACAAAGGTATCCCTAACTCAACAACAGTAATTATTGTTTAGTCTTTCTAAACAACACTTTCTTTGGCAAATTTTATGGTTATAGTGCATTAAAAATTAATTTTACTATGGTTTGAAATCAATGTACTGTAATTAGTTTTGCGCAAGCACAAATTTGGTAGTCAAATTTCTTTGTATGGAATAATTTACAGCTATGAATCTTTGACCTATTACATATTTGTTAGCTGAAAATCTTGTAAATAATGTTTCTATGCCTACTGAAAATATTATACAAACTAAATAGTTTACACAGAGTTTGGTTAGGTATAACGGTAAAATAGCACTGAAAAAATGCCCCTGGAAACAACAGCCATGTTACAAATGACCAAAATTGCACAATAGGTAAAAATGTCCCTCATTTCTAGTAGGTAAAAATGTCCCTCATTTCTAGTATCTTTGTATACAAAAGTTCTTGTGACAAGTACAATAACAATATTGGCTACTGGCCAGAGGGTGATACAAAACCAGGAAGAAATGTTTGTTACTTATTGGAAACTAACCATCCATGAAAATCAAAGAGTAGGCCTTTTAGCTTAGATTCTTATCAATATGCTAAAGGAAAAAGTATAAGTCACGTTCACATGACTCCATCTATCGCGAGCTTTATATAGATTCCTTGTGATCGATAAAAATGTGTAAATACAGTACACAGTATACAGCACATACACAAAGATTGTATTTTATTGTATGGAAGGGAAGGGGACAATTTCCATCAAGAAATACTGGATGAAGGTATAAAACATTATACATATATTATATATTTATATATTTTTATAAGTTATACATCCATGGAAATACCACGAGTTTGATTACAATATGATAAATACAAATTGTTTGAAATATTGAATCACAATGGAATAGCATAGTTTTTATATTCTGTATATTTCACCTTGTCTCTGTATTTGATTAAATTAAAATAAATTACTGTAGGCCAAAGCAATAATAAAAAAATGTACAGCATATCTACCTTCTGATCTAAGCACGTTTTATCATGTCTTTCAAGATCAATACCACTCAAAGTGCCTTCTTCAATTCCCGAATCACGTCCTTCAGGGTGCGGAACACGCACTTTGCTATATGTATTGGCTTTTCTACCTGGAAGGCTCATGCAACAAACATTTGAACTAAAAATTAAGAAAGAAAATAGGGAGATTTAGCAAGTACAGTAATTACTTAAAAAGTCCTTGAAACTGGATTATGAATGAATTGGGGAAAATTCGAACACAAATATACATAATCAATGAAGAGTATTGCAATGTGAGTTTGCATCAGTAAAATATCATAGGATTGATGTTTTGCTCTACCAGTGACACGTTATCGTACCGCATATTCATTACGTCCCCAAATACGGTACTTGCGAAAAATTCGCTAGTGATTCAGGTGGGAATCGAACCCATGACTTCCAGATACCTAGCCTGGCGCCATCGTCAATCCGATCCCAAAGTAGCAGCGGGTACTGCAAATAATCGTTTGATGTGAGTTTTTTTTTTTTGCAAGTGCGGTACTTGGAGATATACTGAGTATTCGGTATGATAACACGTCAGGTAGGGCAAAACATCAATCTTAACAATGAAGAGTATTTATCGCATCTAAAACATGTTTGTTTATTCATTCTATGTGGTTTGATCCATCGAAGATCAAAATTTATTATGGTTTTATTGTGTCCCTTACGTTTCTAGATGTTACGATTTTTATAATGTTGCTTCTTTTTATGAGGGCTTCCATATTTACTTAAGGGTACCCACAAGAAAATACTTTAATATTATGTTTTAAAGTAGGACTAAAGTTGAATAAAATTTGTAGTAAATCAGTATATTTCTGATAACATCATTCAGTAGATAAAATGCAGACTGTAAATTCATTATCTTATTTTATACAGCATTTGGAAAAACAATTTGATTTTTTTTTTTCATTGATACCAACAAAAAAAATATTTATAATGTTGTACCATGTGCTTTGTGTACCATGTGCAGTTATGGACATACCAAAGGGGACTTGGGGATACACACCACTCAAAAAAAAGTTTAAAATTAAGTAAAACTGCACTCATTAACCAAGCTAGTGCCCCACACCCCATCTTTCCATTATACCCCTCAGCCTCTATGTCAATACTCGTATAAACCACTGACCATGAACAAGTTGAAATTTTCGCTTTAGGAAAAAAACACTAACATCAGAGATATTCATTCCCTTCCTTTTATATGACCCTGAAAGTGTAAGTGCATATTTAGTGCATTCATGGTCAGTAGCAAAGGATATGAATCTCGGTATTAAAAATTAGGTCAAATTTATATAAAAATCAAGTAAAAAATAAATGAAAGAGGAAGTGAAGCTAAGTAATACTTACTCCAGGTTTTTGAAATAGCTGTGAATGCTTTGTACGGAATTCCCATGCCTATAAAGAAATGTTAAAGAGAGGTAAACATCCTTAACATTAATATAAAGTAACATTTATAAAATCTTGGTTTTTCCCAAAATATATGAAACTATATGACAAATAAAAACATGTGGCCATCTTAGACTCTGGTATAAGTAAATCTATAATAACATATAGACAGTATTTGGATTTTTTAGCAAGACTTGTGCATGTTTCGGCATGCAAAATTAACCAAAAAAGCTCTAAACGATACTGCAATTAAAAATATGTTTTATTTATAATATACTGTACAGATAAGAATTAAGGTTCTACTGTATATAGAGTTGATGTATAAAATGGCCATATATCACAGATTGAGGCTTTCATTGCCAAAGAGATATTATAGACCTTTGGACCATGTCTGAGCTAAACTAATAAAAACTAACTTTATGTACACTAAAAAAATAATTGTTCCCCTGCTTTGTGTTCTAGACGCCTGAAAATAACATTTGAGGCGTTCTGGGCTATAATTTTTTTCTTTTTCTTCCTTTTTTTCTATTTTTTTCTTTTTTTACCCCCCAAAAAGGGGGGGGGGGGAAACCGATAGTATCCATTGAACAAAATATGGGTGGTGTACAAATGATAGCCCTCATGTTTTTAAACAAGAGACATAAGACAACTGTTGATAGACAACAGCGATCATAACTTCAGAATAAAATATCGCCAACAAATCTATTTTTTCAACAAAGGCTCATGATTGAAAGAATGGCCTGTATATGGTGTAACTGGGCATGCTCTAAAAATCAAATGCATAGTTACATCTATTATAAACAAACCAATGAATAAAAAACAACAAAATAAATAGAACAAATAAATTAATAAAAGAATAAAAGTATGAATGAGTGAATGAATCAGTGGCATATCTAGGGGGTGAGCTGGGGATGCATGCCAACCACACCCACAACAAGCTTGCACCCTCTAGTGCCTCTTCCATTGAAAATGTTCAAAGCAAAAAAGTCACACTCAAGTTCACGCCCTACCACCCAACCACCAGACCCCATTTGAAGAGTCCTTAATACTGCACATCACTAAAATGAATGAATGAATAAATGAATGTGAATTGATAGATATAAGGATCTGTGGCAGCACAAGCGTCTGAAATCTGGAAAGGGGAGGGGGGGCGGGGAAAGTGGCAAGGTATTTTGGGGGGACGAGAGCAAAGTGGGCGTTTTCAGGCGTTGATTAAAATGTTTCGAAGTGGTCCGGGGGTGGAGCCCCTGAAAAAAATATGACAATTTCGGGGTTTCAGAGATTTTACATATAGCCTTCTAATATGTAGAAAATGCAAAATTTTTTTTCTCCACGATGAATTGTGGTTTTTCTTCTTTTTTGTTGGGGACAAACACCCCCTAAGTTTGAATGAGTGAATCAATCAATCAATCAATCAATCAATCAATTAATCAGTCAATGAATAAGAGAGCAAGCAAACAAAATAAAACAAATAATTAAAGCAACAAACAACAGACAAGTAAGTCTTGACTAGATGCAAGGAAGAGCACAAAAAGAATGTGTCAGATAAAGAGAACAAGGCGGCCAAAAAAAAAAACTCTTGCGTTGGCCACGTTTTGGGAAATCAAAAAAATAGGTAGCTTGGTAGGAAAAGATTTTTTTTCCCTAAAAAAATGTGTTTATGCCTAAAAAGTAGAAAATACATGAAAATACAACAAAGACCATTTTTAAATCTATACTTAAAAACAAAATGGTCGCATCACCTACTGTCAAGCAAGATAGTCTTATTCCAGCCTTTTTAGCTCATTAAAAGAAATTTTCATTTGTAGTCACAAAAAAAAAAATAAATAAAATGCTGAACCTAAATTTCATACACTTTGGGTCGGTCGGGTGTGACCAACCCATCACTTTTTTGATTTGGCCTAACTAGCAAAGTAAAATTGGTCAGAATACTGGAAATCCCTAGTTATGTTTAAAGGAAGTTAGTTCCTTTTAGCTCATAGACATTCGGGAAAAGTCCCTTTTCCTTGAACCAATCAATTCATTTATTGTGAGGAGTTTTTAACATTTTTTTAGAACTTCCAAGAGCTGTGTGTAATACTGTGGGTTTTACACCGATCAATTCAGGAAATGCTAAATGATTCACAATACTTTATGATTTCCCCAAATTAGTGGTTTACAGTAGGTAGCCAAGTGTGGTTTAAAAATTATTATAAGTCAATCGCAAGGTCATTACTGGCATCAAATCTTAATGTTATTTTCCTATCCCCAACCGTGCACTAATATTTAAATAAAATTCAAACTTTGTATAATAAATTTCACTAGTGTAGTATCCAGCTATTCTAAGCTTAGTTTATGATGCTGTAAACTGTACTAATTTTATTCACCAATTATTTTCAGTTATGTCAAATCCAAGTGAATAATTATTTTGTTACTCTACTGTACATATTTATTTATGTTAAATTATGTTTAACATAATCAGCATCGTAGAGTGTAACTGGTGTTTTTATTATCTACAGTATTTTACTACTATACCGAATTGCAACCCATAACATAAATGTACCACTTTGTATATTGAAAGCCTGGGCCAAGCAATACAAGTATTTCATCAAAATTTTAATGTCATTTTCTATTTTTCTTTTTTGATTTAGTTTCTTTTTTATCTTTCATTAACAAAAATTCATTTTACACCATAATACACTGTTATGAAAAAACTGTTTACATGAAAAGAAAAATAAGAAAAGGAAGTGAGTGAACATAAAATAATTTGAACAATAAAACAAAAGTTTAAAGGTTATACAGTACTCTAAATAAATATTACAAGTCTTTCACATCACAGTAAAAAACTAACTAAAACCAGGGTCAAACGGAAAGGAAATTATGAAAATTATAAAAAATTGGATAATTGCTTTCTTACTTGACTAACGAAGACTCGGTTGGTGACGACTCTTCTTCATTGTCGATTGAGTCCATCCGCTTCCATGCTTCCCCCTCAGCTTTTATAAGACTTGGGAAAAGAGTATCAGCAGTTAGTAGGACAGAGCTGCGGCCCTGGGTATCTGTAGAACTGCACCGCCATCTAGGTGATGACATCATCATCGGAGGGTTATCACGGTATTCGAATCTGAAGAAAAAAGGATAAATTATTACTTGATGCATTTTCAAATTTAAAACTAAACTACTTGGAATAAAGTAAAGTACACTTGATCAAGACAGGATCAGACTGGAGGAGCCTAAGCAGTGGCTTTCAGGCGTTGATTAAAATGTTTCGAAGTGGTCCGGGGGTGGAGCCCCTGAAAAAAATATGACAATTTCGGGGTTTCAGAGATTTTACATATAGCCTTCTAATATGTAGAAAATGCAAAATTTTTTTTCTCCACGATGAATTGTGGTTTTTCTTCTTTTTTGTTGGGGACAAACACCCCCTAAGTTTGAATGAGTGAATCAATCAATCAATCAATCAATCAATCAATTAATCAGTCAATGAATAAGAGAGCAAGCAAACAAAATAAAACAAATAATTAAAGCAACAAACAACAGACAAGTATTCTTGACTAGATGCAAGGAAGAGCACAAAAAGAATGTTTCAGATAAAGATAACAAGGCGGCCAAAAAAAAAACTCTTGTGTTGGCCACGTTTTGGGAAATCAAAAAAATAGGTAGCTTGGTAGGAAAAGATTTTTTTTTTCCCAAAAAATGTGTTTATGCCTAAAAAGTAGAAAATACATGAAATTACAACAAAGACCATTTTTAAATCCATACTTAAAAACAAAATGGTCGCATCACCTACTGTCAAGCAAGATAGTCTTATTCCAGCCTTTTTAGCTCATTAAAAGAAATTTTCATTTGTAGTCACAAAAAAAATAATAAATAAAATGCTGAACCTAAATTTCATACACTTTGGGTCGGTCGGGTGTGACCAACACATCACTTTTTTTATTTGGCCTAACTAGCAAAGTAAAATTGGTCAGAATACTGGAAATCCCTAGTTATGTTTAAAGGAAGTTAGTTCCTTTTAGCTCATAGATGTTTGAGAAAAGCCCCTTTTCATTGAACCAATCAATTCATTTATTGTGAGGAGTTTTTAACATTTTTTTAGAACTTCCAAGAGCTGTGTGTAATACTGTGGGTTTTACACCAATCAATTCAGGAAATGCTAAATGATTCACAATACTTTATGATTTCCCCAAATTAGTGGTTAAGAGTAGGTAGCCAAGTGTGGTTTAAAAATTATTATAAGTCAATCGCAAGGTCATTACTGGCAGCAAATCTTAATATTGTTTTCCTATCTCCAACCGTGCACTAATATTTAAATAAAATCCAAACTTTGTATAATAAATTTCACTAGTGTAGTATATGCAGCTATTCTAAGCTTAGTTTATGATGCTGTAAACTGTACTAAATTTATTCACCAATTATTTTCAGTTATGTCAAATCCAAGTGAATAATTATTTTGTTACTCTACTGTACATATTTATTTATGTTGCACATAATCAGCATCGTAGAGTGTAACTGATGTTTTTATTATCTACAGTATTCTACTACTATACCGAATTGCAAACCATAACATAAATGTACCACTTTGTATATTGAAAGCCTGGGCCAAGCAATACAAGTATTTCATCAAAATTTTAATGTCATTTTCTATTTTTCTTTTTTGATTTAGTTTCTTTTTTATCTTTCATTAACAAAAATTCATTTTACACCATAATACGCTGTTATGAAAAAACTGTTTACATGAAAAGAAAAATAAGAAAAGGAAGTGAGTGAACATAAAATAATTTGAACAATAAAACAAAAGTTTAAAGGTTATACAGTACTCTGAATAAATATTACAAGTCTTTCACATCACAGTAAAAAACTAACTAAAACCAAGGTCAAACGGAAAGGAAATTATGAAAATTATAAAAAAATTGGATAATTGCTTTCTTACTTGACTATAAACGAAGACTCGGTTGGTGACGACTCTTCGTCATTGTCGATTGAGTCCATCCGCTTCCATGCTTCCCCCTCAGCTTTTATAAGACTTGGGAAAAGAGTATCGGCAGTTAGTAGGACAGAGCTGCGGCCCTGGGTATCTGTAGAACTGCACCGCCATCTAGGTGATGATGACATCATCATCGGAGGGTTATCACGGTATTCGAATCTGAAGAAAAAAGGATAAATTATTACTTGATGCGCTTTCGAATTTAAAACTAAACTACTTGGAATAAAGTAAAGTACACTTGATCAAGACAGGATCATACTGGAGGAACCTAAGTAGTGGCAGGTTCAAGGGTGGGGAATTTAATAAATTGTTCAAAATTTTTTTAAAGAAAATTATGTTCAAATTTTAAGTCTGAGAGTGCAATTTTCAGCCACCTACAGTAGAGCTGCCATAATCACAAATTTTCTTACCTCAGGCCTAACCATGGTGGGGCTGAGATGGTATAGCTCCTCCAACTGTGAAAGTACTGTACCTCTCCAGGCCCCCCTCTATTTTGGATTCAGGATCCGCCACTGCTAAGTGAATAAAACAACTTACTGTATCTAGGTGTTTTAAGGCATCCTTATTATTTTGAAATAAAAACAAAACTACTTGGAATACAGTAGTACACTTGATTGTTAAATTCATATTCAGATTCTGAGGGACTTCAAGACTGGATCGGACTGGAGGAACCTAGTAAATTAAACAACTGTTCTACCAGATGCTTATGGAGGTATCCTTATAATTGTGATAATCAAACGTTAAGTGACACTTTTATTAGCTTCTTATTCTTTCTGTTTCACTTTGCATACAAAGAATGTGCCTTCTAATTCAGGAAATGAGGTGTTCACGTTGAAATCAGAGGTGAATACAGTATTGTTATGTCATGCCCTGAAGTTAAAGGAAATCTGTTTTAAATCCAGTTGAAAAATCTATTAATTGCATCATTCATACAGGCATAGAAATAACTTTGACCTCTAGTTTATTTAATTCTAGGATTTGTTTTACCCTCATTTACCTTGAGCCCTATGAAAAAATGGTGTCAACACACTTTTCTAGATTTACGCGATAATGATCAATTAACTCACTAAATGAAGCTTATAAAGGATGATAATTACCTAATTATTACTTTCATACTAAGTGTAAGTGTTCAAAGTACACTTGATTGTGCTAGAATACAACTCTTATTCGTTCGATACGACAACCGATATCTTGGTCGTTATCATTTCCATTGTTGTAGACTATCCTCAGTCATCCCTTATCTCGGGCCTATATAAGCGCGTGACAACCGCAAGGGTTCGTGAAGCTCGAGAGACTGGGCAATAGACTAGCTAGCCTAACTCCACCGGTCGGAAATTTACATAATTGTACACTATTGAATAACAGTTGTCACAGACAAACGACATCAGAACTTACCATAAGTCATCCTTAGTGAAAGCAGTCAATTACTATCTGAATACTTTCGTAGGAAGTTCTATTCCAGACAGTTACTTTCCTACCTACAGTATCTGATCCACTCGCTTGTTACATTTTTACAACACAGTAAATGTAATGTTTATAAAACGAGACGGAACTAAGCATGGGGGTAAAAATATACGCGCTTGTTTGTAAAGGTAAATCTGTTCACAACGATAGACTAAAAATCTCACAATGTATTTTAAGTTAATAATAATTTTATCTCATTTTGTAATGTAAATTACTAATTTGTAACGTACCAGTGTAATGAAAGATACAGTTGCTTTATTTATACCCACCAACAAAATGAAATAGTCTAAAGAAAGAGCGAATCTTTGAAATTGGATTGGACAAAAGAGCAAAAGGGGAAAACCCTATTAAAAGAATAGTTTTTCATTTGTACAGTAAAGAACCATTGTGTTGTATATATTATTAAGCAATGACCACCAAACAACCAACTTGGATATTATTAGTGAACTTACTAGTTACTGAAATTATTAGTGAACAAATATTTAATAATACTGTATATTTATATAGGTCTACAGTATACCTATATTCAACATCCCTGTATTTAAAAAAATAATTAGTACAGTATTTAATACTGACTTTATTATTATTATGCTTTTGTATTATAATATCAATCATTATACTTTAAAGGGCTAATAATGTGAGAATTAACAGTACGTTAGGTGTACGCTAACATAAGTTTATTTATCTGTTTTATGCCACCGCCTCGTGACTAAAATGCATGTCCTATGCCCGCAACATTTTAATATACTGTAAGTCCACATAGATGATCTTGATATGCTCCCAGTCGAGAACCACGTGTGCACGCAACAAGTGCATTGTTCGCTTTTCTGCATTATTATTTCTAATAACAGTAGGCCTAGGTATGATGGTAATGGTAATGGTTGGAGACTTATATAGCGCATAATACATGGTCTCTATGCGCTGGGGACTAGATGATGCACTTTACAATGACGTGTTTAGATGATTTCAAGGTATTCGTCTACCAGGAATAATTTGGCAAGCATTACCCAAGACAATAAAAATAACATTATCCAAACAAATTTAATATGCCTGGCCAATTATGTTGAGTTTACATTAGGTTGAATATCGTCCACATATAACTGCGAACGCAGTTGCTGTTAATGTTAACACGATAGCATTGAGGTTCTTGTATTCAAAAAGTGTTATGGATTTAATATGAGCCCAAACCAATTGAGATGAAAGAAGAGCATACACATAAGGCTTCAAGGCATTATTATCATCATCATCAAAATAATCATCAATATCAACATCACCAAAATCATCCTTGTTATCATTGAGTACGAGTATACTGTATTTGTTTATTTATTTGGTCAACAAAATTAAAACATCCTAAGACTGGGTCTATTAGTGACAAGTAAATACTAAGAGACACGTTATTCAAACTTCATTTGCATACAGGTTATATATTATATTATTGTCAGTAGCGGACAATCCAGGAATTTGAAATTGGGGGGGGGGGGGGGGTTTTTTTCCCAAAAACCCTTCACGGGTGGTGGGTCTATACTATCTCAGCCTCACCATGGTTGGGGGTGAGGTAAGAAAATTTATGATTATGGCACCTCTAGATGGCCGGAAATGGCACTCCTATGACTCAACATTTTAGTCGAATTTTCTTTTTTTCTTAATTTTTTTAAAACATTTTGACAAATTTAGAGGGGGCCCGGACCGGCTGCCCCACTCCCTTGAATCCGCCTATGTATATATTTTTTTACGCAGGCCTGTTTGTTTTAAACAACACGGCATATAGCGATAATGACACGACGCCTTTACAAACACGCTTTTAATACATAAAACATCATAGACTGGGTCTGTTCGTGCAGTAATACTAAGCGACACGTTCTTTAAACATCATTTGCATACAGGTTAAATAGGCATATATATATAGGCCCTTATTACTATATACAGTATTTTAGATAGGTCTATTTGTTCAAACAACAAGGCGTAGCAATAACGATAGGACGCCTTTACAAAAACGTTTTTATAACATATGCCTACAAGAAGCTAAATTTTTATTTATTTAATATTTACTTTCAGGCGACAATGCGCCGCTTTTACAATGATCATTTGCTAATTATATTATACCGTATTATGTATTAATGTCCAGGTATTTACATTGATATGGCACGCTATATATAAGGCTCTTAATGTGTTAGGTATGTGTTTTATCTTGGGAATATGCTAATTAATATATTATCTGTGCTGTCTATACCATATATATATATATATATATATATATATATATATATATATATAAATGAACAATTTCAAACTAACAATTAAGCAAGGGCCAATCATTACAGATTGTAATACTTTATAATAGGCCTACTGCTTATAAGTTGAAACATAATTTAGAAATTCGAAGAACCAATAATTAGTATACAACGGTGGTGGACATATGCCCTAAACCACCGTGAATTTTAAACCATAGGATTTTATTCAGAAAGATAGGCTAATACTACTTACCCTTGTCGCCAGTGTAATATCTCCTCATATCGTACTTTTCGTCCCCGACGCGGTTTTCGTCGGGTCGGCAGCGAAGGGGTGGTTGAAACGGGCCGGAACATCGCTTCAGCTCCGACAGATACCTCCTCACACGAAAGGCTCTACTTGCGAACAAAGTCGTAAGTTGTTCGTGCATACCATAATTATCCTCAGCGCCTACCATGTCTTTTCTGTGTTATCTAATATACAGCGTCGCAAGGTTTTCCTACCAGCTTTTTTAATAATTTATTTTACAATGTCGACAAAAAGGGAACAAATCGACGGTTCAAGCATAAATAATTTTTTCTGGGTTAACCGAAAATGAGCACCATGAAGTAACGCTACTATTCAACCTCTCTTATTTTTCTAATTCAATATTATTTCTACAACCAATGCATTTAATTTTCTAAACAATATCACCATAGTTGAATGAGTAGGTGAATCCTTCAGTACAATTACACTGTTTTTCATAGAAATATTAAACCCAGTCCCGTACACTAACAGCGCTAATTAAATTTCGTTAGCTTGTTTTTTACGCGTTACCATTATTATTTGTTTAATTTTTTCTTTTTTAATTAAAATTAAATCGTAATTCATGTTTTTCGAACTTTTCATTATCACTTGGCCTATGATCATTTTAGCGTGCGACTAAATTTCTGTTGCCTCTCTGTCTGGAATTCTATAGACATTTGATCATAATTTAAACGCACCTATAACACTGAACATGCAGAGCGTCTTCGACTTTTAAATTGATATTAGCGTTTAAAGAACACAATTTAGGACTATACATTAGGTCTAGCTACGACTCTATTCGGAGAAAGAAAGGGATTCGAGGGGGTCCAGCCAACCCGGCCCCTAACTTTTTCGAAATCTGGTAGCATAGAAGCGTGGGAGTGCAATTTTCAACCAGCTCCATAAACTTTCGTGCCTGAGCCTCGAACGCGGCTGGGGTGTAGTCTGGATATATTATATTATGTATAACCTAGGCATATATATAGTAAAACAAAAAGAGAAAATTAATAACAATTGCTCAAATATGGGAACATATCGTATAAACATAGTCGTATCAAGATTAAACCAATACAACACAACTGCAATATATTACTATATTGACTATATTGTTTGTAGAAACATACATAGGCCTATATTTTCCAAGAAATTAAAAGTTGATATGCAAAATTAGGTCCAGTTTTCTTTGGGGAATATACATTATCTTTGTACATTTTCATCGTCATACCAAGCGTTTAATCTGACCTATTAAAACAAAAGATCAGGTGCGAGAATCAAGGACCTCGTATGCAGTAAATTACACTTTCACCTACATAAAATAATTATTCATTACGTCACCAAAGTTGAATTATATCCCATGACGATCCAATAATAACACAACAATACGAATGTTGATATTCATAACTAGTGAATACGTGTTTAGCACGACTAAACAAAATCGAACGATAAAACAGCATGATAATAATGATCCATGATAATATATTGTTTGTAAGAAAACCTGCGCCACGAGCTTTTTGGTAATATTTCTCTACAACATTTTTTTACCTGTGTCTATTCATAAGCTTATCATTACCAACAACAACAGATGGATTTATTTAATTTATGATCATTATACACACTCATTTACATCAGTAGAACGTGTTCTGGTAACTACTGTATATCTATCTATCTTCCGATAAATACAGGCCTCTCTGATGTGAGGCTCGTACAGCAGCTTTCTTCTCCACCAAGGGTCCCTTCGTGTCTGAGTTACCCGTTAAACCGGTAGCAGCTACTCTCGCCTTGTCAACACAGGGACTGTATGGACCAGTACAAGGGTAAGCCCCTACTAGTCCATAAACAGGCCAAGACACGGCTTGCTATTAGTAGATTTAAATAACAATATGTAAAGCTTGCCTGTAATAAAATCTGCAAAAAAAAATCTACAAAATTGATTTAAAATAATATTTTTAAAAATCAAATTAATACGTTATGAGCTTCAAATAAGGCACAAATAGAACCAAATAAATTTACAGCAGTTTAATATGAAAATTTCTCAATTTATCCTCAGTAAATAGTACATTAATTGGCGGTTTGCGGAGAGTGTTATAAGCAAATAACTTACCTAAATATACAAAGAAATTCAAATATTACAATATTAGCTATTAGCACAGCACTGATTTATCTTCAGGGGGTTATCCGGAGGGTGGGGTTGGAAGCGGTCCCTTAATTAAAAAATAACATACAAATTTAAGTCTGGGGTATAGTAAAAATTCTGGTCAGGTGCCATCTGGTCATAAGTGCTAACTTTATACAGTCAATAGCCACCATATCTGATCCTGTATCATGGTTACAAAGACCAGTACCAGTATAGTCATACATTATACACAGATATTCAAATATTACAGCTTATTTCCACCTCATTCTGGGCGCTTCTTTTTACATTCTCTGCAAAAGCGCGATACTAAATGCGTAAACCACAATAATTGCTGCAAAAGCGGTTTAGCACAGCAGGAACGGTTAGGTTTCCCAACCTCAAGGTCGGGGTTTCAATCCCCTGCTGCGCATTGCGCTTGTGTCCTTGAGCAAGACACAATCTGCACCAATTCTCACCACCCAGGAGTGTAAATGGGTACCTGGTGGGGCGCCTGCTCCTGCGCTGATTACCAGCAGCAACACTTAGCAAGAAAGAGGGGGATTATAAATGCCCATACTAGTACCAGTAACAGTATACAGGCCTAATTTTTTGGCAATATAAGATAAATTGCACCCATTTATCCATTAACAAATATTAGTTAATATTGGAAAATTAATACTCTAATATAAAATATTTCAGCATATGATCGATATAAAAGTAATTTTAACATTCGGCCAAAAAAAGTTGCCAATCCTAACCAACCCAACATCTTGAAAAGATAGAGCTGGCTTTCTGTTCTGCAAAGATATTGTTTCCACAATTAGGATCCAGACATGCTTGTATGATAAGGGAAGGGTGCACTTTCAAGGTAATTAATTCATTCCATTACCTTTTGTGTGGGTACTATTTTACCACCAAAATGCATGGGGTGAATAATAATTATGAACCGAGAATTTTAGCTGGGTATATAGCAAAATAAATACAAACCGACCCTGTATGCCACTGTGATTTCCAAGAACAATGTTTTGGCCTTACTGGTATTCGTGTATATAAATAGATACATCTGAATTTAAAATCACATGTTCTATACAAATATAATTGTATAACTCTATCTATATGAACATTGTATAAAATAAAGTAATTGCATTACATAATCATTCTTTTGGTTGATAGCACCAAAGTCATTGCCTAACTAAATTTTCTTATCTACAGTACATAATATAAACATTGCGAAATTTTCAACTTTCAGCTCACATTAGTATATCTGCTGACAATTGTTAGGCAGCGCAAAATGGCTCAGTCTGTGCTAGATACATCAAATCAATAATTCAATCCATCAATCAATCAAATAATCAACCAATTAATTTTTTACCATTCACACAGATTGCTATTTTGGTCTAAACTGTACTACTACTTAAAATTAGCAGGGGCCCCAAAGACTCAGCTGATCATTCCCTGTTCTCAAAGCCACACATCATATGCTCTGCCTTGCTATGCTTGTTTCGGTTGGTGACTCAATCATCAGTAAGAAAGTGGTGTCTATTTGATGGCCTATTGTCTTTCAATGAATGATGGCTAACATTAATAATAATAATTAATCTTTATCAACAAATCAATTAGCCATTCTTTTAAGAAATCAATAGCCAATTCAAATGTGTAATACGTACTTAGCATACAGGTACGTTTCGCAGCTTACAACTAAAACTCACTATTGTGTTCTGATGGACGATGAAGTCAATCTGTGGTGATAATGTTCTATAAACTGGAAGACAATACAGTACACTCTTTTCCAATAAGCGTATCAAGTTTGTGTTTGCCGAAATGCACAAAACCAATGGACTTCTTAATAGTACATTAAGCTGTATTTTGAAAAGCAGCAATAGAATCGAGCGAGGCACCAAAGGAACTCTATCGTTTAGCACACCCACAGTGTTTACCATTAATTAAGCCCACAGAGCTTTGCCGCTCTCTCGGATATAAATAACCAGGCAGGTTCATCATAAAAGAGGGATTGGTTTCTGGATGTCGCCAGTCTCCCATAACCAGAGGGCTAGTTTCTGGCTTTGAGCAAGGACGTACTGTATTGGGACAACACCGAGATGGATACATATTAGCTCATAGCATTGCACAAGTCCAGGTTGAAGGTTCGGGAAACAAGTTTGAACCAAGTTCCTAGAAAAAAAAATTGTTAAAATAAAATAAAATTATAAAACATCAAATATTCTATGAATTAAGGGCTATGTGAACAACACATCTTATGGAAACAAGCAAATTAAAAATCAGAAAATTAAATAACTAATAATACTGCAATAAAAATTATTAATTTTATGCATTTGTACATGAGTAACTGTCTCAGAAACTTCCAAAGATTCTTGATGGCTGAAACTGAATACATAGTTACCTGTACTCATTTTTAGAGAGATGCTGTATATAGAGGGCGGTAAACACAAAACGGATAATGTAATCAGTGTATACTTACTTGTAAAAATCAGTTGCAATTATTCCAGGAGGAAGATTGTTGGTATTTACACTGGGTGGTTCACGGCACTCTAATGAGCTCCCCTGTAATATTATAACAATTAATCAATTAACCAATTACATAATATTACAGTAATTGGAATAAATAAATTCACATCAATCCAGAGTCAGTGAAAAGAAACAAATAATAAATCTTAATATTGAATAAAAAAAAAAAAGAATAAGAAAAAAAAAGATATTATTATTCCATCAAGATTCCAAATTACATACAAACTTGATAGGAATACAGAGAAAGAAAATTTATAAAATAATAATAATAATAACAATTTACTTTACAATAATGAAGTTAATAACATTTGCACATATCAAACTAGCTATAAGCATATATCCACCTACCAAAGTATCTTCAAACCACAAGAAATAAGACAAACTAGCTATAAGCATATATGCACCTACCAATGTATCTTCAAACCACAAGAAATAAGAGTAGAAGAAATCTCCCTCCCTGTATGCTACAGATATATAACCATCCTTGATGAACTTGTGTAATTTATCTGTCATTGACCACACCTGTAATCAATTAAAAAAATACATTTTTAACATACTGTCCTTGACAATATACAAATCCATAAATTCTATTTTTCCTACATAGGCTGTCAACCAATTACTGTCCTAAATTTTGAGTCAATATGTTAATTCCATTCAAAAAGTAATATATTATAGTCAGAATTCAAATGCCAATTCCTTTTTATTATTATTGTAACAAAAAGTTTAACAAATAACTGAACTAAGAAAAAGATATGGTAGGCCTAAATGAGCATTAGACCTCTGAAATATTTTTTTATATTTACAACGTGAAATATTGCTCATCTGGGGAGTTTTTGATCTGCCAGTTCCTATATATTTTTCAACCCAATGATTGGGGGAGCTATTGGTCTGAGTTGTGCTGTGATATTATTTTATTGAAATTTTTTTAATCTAATATTTTTTCCCTATGGTTAGGCTTCCCAAATGAGGGGGCTATATCCCCCTCAACCCA